GCAGGGGGAGATCGTTTCGGTCGCGCTACTCAGAAGTTCTAGCACACTCTAATGAGGTTAAGGAAGTGCTTTTGAGGCGTTGTAAGTTGTTACCCGAGGCTTTCTGGCAAAGGTTCCGGTACACGAAAAAGTGCAATGAGTCACACGTTGACTTCAAGTTTCGTCTTAAAGCCGATTTAATTGAATGGTTCAAGGGCGAAGGTGTTTATGACAATCGCGATAAAGTGGTAGAATGCATTGCATTGGAGCAATTGTACCCCTGCATCGAAGATGATGTCAAGCTTTGGTTGCAGGACAAACTTGGCGAAGTGCAGCTTAACAAGGCAGCAGAGTTAGCTGAGAAGTATTATACTCGCCGAAAGTTGCATAGCAGGGCAGTGCTCATTGAAAAGGATGAAAGGAAAGAGGGCTTTTCAAAGAAATATGATCAACAGAAACACACTCCCCATTGTAATTTCAGGAAGGACACGTCTCTTATGAAGGACACTGTAGGGGAAGGGCAAACGGAAGCGGAGAAATCGAGTGAGGTTCCTAAACAACGCACTGATAATACAGGGGCGTTTGAATCACGGAAGCCACTAATCTTGATGAAACCATACGTTCAACGTTAAGCAGTCATAAATCTTATTTTGAATGCGTCAGAGGAAGAGGGAGCACAAAATTTTGATCTCTAATGATGTAATCGAAAGGGGATCACAGGTAATCTTGGAGCAGTTGAACCTAGAGCCTAGGTTAAGTGAAGTCTAGAAGGAGGACTTGAGAAGAGTTGTCTCCGTGTTGTAGGGTCTCGAAATGGCGGGCGACAGCCACACCGCGCTCTTGGAGTGAATGGACACAGTAGACACGGTCAGTACAAACAAAAGAACCAACATACATTTATTTAACTACTTGTGAACTACGATATTGTCTGCTGGATCGATACAGCAATTGTTATCAGCATGCTACCATACACTCAAACAACATAACACAATAACACACCCAAGGCGGCGCCGCCAACGCTTGACTTACCACGAGGGCCCCCTGTGCCGTGCACCGGGGACCCACGCTAGAGACAACCGTTCGCGGCAACCACCACGTGCAAAAGAGACTCGCTCAACTCTCGCCCGCTACCAAGGCCTGCCTTCCGCCAACGTTCACCGCCGGCGCTACCACTGTAACAACCATGATCATGATAGTGGTGCTCAACGCGAACACAACGCCATCTATCGCACGGCGGTTGTCACCCCCGAAATGCGGCTTTTGGGCGAGACACGTGTGCCACGCGTGGTGCAAACAACTTTACAGGGGAGTGTCTGTACCCCCACATTCCTCCAACCTTAAATCAAACCATATTCCGAAAATACAAAGAGATTAGCTACACAAGCTTTAACAAAAAAATGACATCACATGCTTCTGCATAATGTCCTTGCATCACGACACCGCCGCCGCTCGAGCTCCGCCGCGGTGGTTTAGTGGCTAAGGTACTCGGCTGCTGACCCGCAGGGCGCGGGTTCGAATCCCGGCTGCGGCGGCTGCATTTCCGATGGAGGCGGAAATGTTGTAGGCCCGTGTGCTCAGATTTGGGTGCACGTTAAAGAACCCCAGGTGGTCTAAATTTCCGGAGTCCTCCACTACAGCGTCTCTCATAATCATATAGTGGTTTTGGGACGTTAAACCCCACATATCAATCAACCGCCGCCGCTCGACAATGCTGCACTGTCCGGCCTGACTTCACCTCAGTACCGATCCCGCAACAGCAACGTTGCCCACGAGGCTTCCGTACTCACTCGCTTCAGGCCTGGCCTACAATCCACGTGCTCTAGGCCTTGCTCACCCCAGGATGAAGACTGCATGGCTCTCGTCCTAACTCAACAACGGTTTTGAAAACTAACACCAACAAAAAAGAACAACACTTGCAAGCAAAAAAAAAATGAAAACTCAACCTGCCGACAAATTCAAAAACGTTACAAAACCAATCTCCTCGATTCTCAAGAAAGCACACCACCGACGCTAGCAATGAGAAGTCCCCCTTGGGCCTACTCTTCCCCGGCTCAAACAAAAGCCTGTACCGAATGCAAAAACTGTCGTCCGATACTCCAAGAGCCCCACGTTGGGAACCAGTGTGGGGTCTCGAAATGGCGAGCGAACCGTCACGCTCTTGGAGTGAACGGACACAGCAGACACGGTCGGTACAAACCAAACAACATACGCATATTTATTTAACTAATTTACCACGACGATATCGTCCGCTGAATTGATACATCAATCGTGATCGTACGCTAAAGAACCTTACTGTTACACAATACTCCAAACATGACAAACACATTAACACACCCAAGGCGGCGGCGCCAACGCTTGACTTACCACGAGGGCCCCCGGCGCTCAGGCGCCAAGGACCCACGCTAGAGACAACCGTTCGCGGCAACCGCCACGCGCAGAATCGACTCCCTCACCTCTCACCCGCCACCAAGGCCTGCCTTCCACCAGGGGTCACCGCCCGAACTAACACTGTAGGGTTCCTCGATGCGCGCGCCCCCTTGCAGGGTGGAGACAACAGCGGCGTCTGCTACGGCGTCCGCCATTAGGATGCCCTCTCCGCAGGCCACCTATAGCCACGATAGGCAGCCAACGGGCGTCGCGCGGCTGCATGCAGAGTTCGTTGTGTCAAAACGAGTGGTACTCAAACAACATGACAAAAATACAAAGTTTTCGCATCGGGAGTGTCAAGGTCTCAGATTTCTATTCTCTAATCTTTATTTTTAAAGCGACATTAGCAGTTGGAGTTGTTCGCAGCAGAATACTACCGTCCACGCCAGCCACGTTAACATCTTCAGTTAGCATCTTCTTGGGCTAGTCGGTAACTATTTATACTGGTTAAAGATGCGAAACACGCGCACGCAAGTCCCATAACCTTTCATTGTGTCTGTGTGTTTTGTGCCTTTCACAAAAGTGTAAAAACAGTTTGCCTGCCGGTCAAAAAAAGAATTAAAAAAAAACAACGTGCTGTCACGAGAAAAGAGAAAAACTGTGATTGCACACCATATTTTCAGATCTAGTTTTCGAATTATTCATCAGCTACTCCATTTACAGACCGCACCCTGCAACGCACAGTATTCTGAATTTTGTTTTCATCTTTTTTACCTTACTGTAAATAGCAGATGGGCAAAAAAATTGTTCAATACATATACTATTTGGGGCTCTACATACGGCTTTTATGGCATTAAATCATGACTCGCACGCAGACACTGACTATCAAACCAGGTTTAGCGTGTTTTCCGCTGGAATATATTATAAATTAGTAACTGTAATAAAGCGTTCGTCGATATCGTTAAAATGAAGCGACCACACGGCTTCTCAACAATAAGAAAGCAAATTGCGTTCAATATACGGCAATTTCTGATGCCATAGCTTGTTTATTTCATGGATAACTTTAATATATTTCAAAAACAAGTGCTACAACTCTTGCAAGTTAACCGCAGCGCATGTCTTGCTTCCACTCCCACTGGTTCTCGCTGTTTCGAGCTGGCGCAGGTGAATGCGAAGCCTTACTCGTGCATAACTGGATATCAACATTTTTTCCAGAGAACCCTTGTGTTGCTGGCATGCCTGCACACTGCACTTGGTCCTCTTGATTAAATATTCAGTTACAGCTTTGAGAGGGGACTTCAGGGTGAACAGGTTGTCTGTCCAGGATGTGATCCCTTTAAAGTGTTCTTCACAAGATATGAGCGAGCTCATAACCTCACCGCTCGGATAACACAAGTTCTCACCATCCTGAACATACTCCTTTAGTGCAGTTAAATATGCGTGTTCATGGCTCGCCGAGCCTTGCATTGCAGCCCTGCACTGCTTGCAGTCCATCTTCTTCAATATTCTTTTCACAAGGAATCCACCTATATGGTGTAAAATGCTGCACTCTATTGAAGTCAACGCTTCAATGAAAAGAATTTCCCCATCATCAATTTCCTCTTCATCATCTCCTCGACACTCTCTTTTCCCTTAGGAAATCATGTCAACCAGGTACTCAGAGTCGTCATTCTCATAACTAGAGTTCGCTGGCGTGTGCAAAAACTGGCTGACGCACACAAGCTTTAAAGCGCATTTCATGTCGTACGCATTAGGGACGGGTTTCCTTTGGCGCACGACAAAAAAAGATTCTCCAGGCAGTCCTGAAGTAGTCTCCTAGTGAGCAAGAACTTGTAGCCATCCGATTTCAGTAAAATATTTTGCAAACGAAGGACCACTGTCGTTGCAACCATGAGACCAGCCTGTGAGGGCTTCCATTGGGATGTACTTCCCATCTGCATGCCTTGTATTGTCTCCAATGTCAAGCGCAACGTTTCCAGGGCCTCGTGGTACTTTGCCATGTCTCGACAACTAAGTGCGACAGACGGATGTCGCGAGGACATCAGCTTGTACCATTTTGCGATCAGGTCCAGGAACCATGCTGTAGTTTCAGCTTCTGGTTCGAGCACTTTCTCTCTAATTAGGCAACAAATGGCAGCTGGGGATTCCTTGAAAAACTGCACCGCTATGCCGACTTTCATTTTCGTGTAATGGCCTTTGCTGATGTGTACTTCTGAAAGTTTGGGTGCAATTTTCAGCTCTTTATCGGAGTCATACTCTACGACAGCACGCACATGCTCCAGTTTGACTTTGTTTGAGGGTAAGCCATGGTGACAGACAGTTGCGTCACTCAGTGTAAAATCAACAGAGTTCAAAAGCTGGCCTCGAATATTTTTTATCACGTGCGCGGCATCTGCAGTGAAGAAGAGTTTCTTTCCCTCAAGCACAGGATGAGGGATTGCGCACACCGTGTTTGAGTTCCTATGGCTAGAAAAACCAAACTCGCGCCACATCGCTCTGTTGGAGGCTCCCATGTCAGAGGTCACCACAAGCACTCTCAGGGAAATATCTGCGCAGAGCTGCACGATTTCCAGCACAAAATTCTTGAGCAGACAGCCGTCGACCGAGCTTCCAGTGAAATGATACGCAATGACCTGTTTCCATCTTGAGTTCAATCCTCTGACCATAAACACCAAGCAATGACAGGCGGGTTAATCTGGTTCCGCTGGGAGTGTCTTTCCTCCAAACACGACGTCTTCAGCACGGTCGAGCTCATACCCGCGGGCAATTTCCATTTCGTCGAGATAAAGCACACAATCTCTTTCAACGTCTTCCAAGCCCTCTGCTTTTGCTCTGAGCAACTCAGTAACTTCCGTTAAAATCCCAGGCAGGAACTTGAGCCCTTGAAGACGACGGACAAGAGTTCTGTTGGAAGGCAGTGGATACCCAAGTTTTCTAAGGGTTTCATAGCCTGTTGTTCCACTTGCGAATTTTATCTGAAGGGCTTGTTTAATTGTTTTTGATGACCAGGTAGTACCTCGGTTGCTGTTTCGTGATAAGGCTCGCATTTGGTCTTCATTTAGGAACTTCAGTTTTTTTCGTAAAATCCCACTGGCATATTCCAACTTCTGAAGCTTCTTTTTAATTGAATTAGTTTTAGCACTTGCTTTGCTATGATCTTCACGAAGTTTCGCGTACTTTGCCTTCATGTCCTGTAGCTGTTTATTCACTTCAGCACACGACCTGTTACTGCACTTCTCTTCCGACAATTCAACATGGGTTGCGGAAAGTGGGCATGCAACTAGCTGAGAATCATCTGTTGTAGGAACTTCAGTTTCTGCCGTGGCACTTGGGCTAGGTAAGTTGGTCATCTAATCACGAGACATCTCCGTGCCATCACTCGGTAGTGGCTGCAATTCTTGATTTGCTGTTTGTTGCATACCAGCTATGTCGTTGACATGTTGTTCTTGAATTTCTGTCGCTGAGGTATCAGAAGCATGGGGTTGACTGTGCAGAGAACAACTTTCTTCTGCGGCCGCAGGCGTCCCTTGTGGTAAAAACCTTTCTTTTGGTGGCTTCCTGTGCTTAGGCATCGCTAAAAAAAACACACATATGTTGCATATCAGCTGGCAGATTCTTTTATCATTATGAACGAACATGCTCTGAGCGTCGCTACGCATAGAAATAAAAATAAACAAAGTGCGAAGTTGTCATTATCCTGCTTCTGGATGGCAGGTGCGGTTAATTCACCTCTCGATAAAAATGGAGGAAACGAGCGATTTCATTGACCGAAGGTATTAAGAGCGTTTTTCTGTAATGTGCGTTTTTTTTCTGTTTTTAAAGAAACACCTGGTTAGACCCTCCATGTGACTCTTAAGAAGGCCGGCAATAACAGTGCTAAACGTGGAACTGACTAAGATTGGAACAAGGAAAAAAATTAGGAAGCAAACTCGCAAACTTCCGTTAACGCGAAAATAAGTGGATTCCTACCTCTAAACGAAAAGATTGTTGGCAGAGCATTCGGCTTCAATTTTTTCCAGCCGTCCGCACGGTTCTGCTCAAATGCGGTTTCTTCGAAATGTCCCTGCAGCACGGAAACACGCGATGATCAGGTCTCAAAGATCTTCACAAAAACCTTCTAAGCAGACCACACCAGCCAACACTTTCAGGGACATGCGTAAAGAGTGATAAGGGAATTTTAGGGGCTGTTGTAGTTGGAGTTAATAATAAAGAAGGGAAAATTGTCAATTTCTTTCTGAAAAAACAGGGACAGTGAGAAAATATTCTTTGATAATGAACTGACGGGATGCGTGCTTTCAATGTGATGTTACAAAAACAAATTGTTGAAGGCGCTGGTAGCAACAAGCGACAACGTAGGCGCACATCTCTGCGCAATTGCAGCTTGTGTACAACAAGCGATCAAGAACAACGCATTTTGTGCTATCCAAAATGAACAATACGCATGTACATAGCATGCAAATGAACGAGTATTGCACCCGGTGCACTGGTGATAGCGATTAAGCCCGATTGGGGTCAGATTTCTGAACAGTCATTGGTGTCCTTCTGCACCAAAAGCCTTTCACATGAGTAACCAACAAGCCCACGTTGCAACCCTCATCGACTACAGTCCTTCTGCAGCTTGCGTATAAGGGAGTCAATCACATCAGGCTCGATCGCGATCAAAAATGCTGAAATGGCATAACTTACGCTGCACAAACACGAACGGTCCGTGGGTTGCCACTTGTCGCGCTTGATCTTTACCAGCCACAGGAGTCGCCTTTTCGGATCTTTCGGAAATCTGAACATCCTATAGCCATTTCGCGAGTGGTTTGTGCACTGTGGCACGCAACACTCGGGCATTTTGCCCGAGAAAACGCTATAAAACGCCGCGCACCTGTCTCACACAAACCAGACGCGACGGGGCTAGCACACTCTAGCGAGGCGGGGGGGAGCCGAATGGCGGCCGCCGATCGGAAGGCGGCATTCACCCCTTCACAGAATGACTCCACCCTCCAAGGCGGCGGAGGGGAGAGCGCGCATCGAGGAACCCTATAACACTGTAACAACCATGATCATGATAGTGGTGCTCAACGCGAACAGAACGCAATCTATCGCTCGGCGGTTATCACCCCCGAAATGCGGTTTTTGGGCGAGACACGTGCACCACACGGCGCAAACAACTTTACAGGGTAGTGTCTGTACTCCACAGTGTTGAAAGACTTGTTTTCGAACTGTCCCGGAAACACGACGGTGACTGAACACGATGATATCAAGCTAACTTGTGAGGACCCAATCCGTAGCAAGCCATATTGATGTTCCCCTGTGCAAAAGCAGATCATATAACAGGAGATCGATAAAATGCTGGAGTTGGGAGTCATAGTACCGGGCGAGAGTGACTATACATCCCCTCTAATGTTAGTTGAAGTGCCGGGAAAAGATCCGAGGTCATGCATAGATTATCGGTGTCCTATAACTTGAGATCAAACTTACCCGATACCAAATCTAGAGGAGAGGGCAGAAACTGTGTCACAGTCTAGTTATATTTCCACGTTAGACCTCGCGCGAGGGTATTGGCAAGTCCCCCTTACGGAGCGCTCTAGCCCCTATGCTGCATTGGTTTCTCCAATCGAAACGTATAGTCCACTTAAGCTGAGCTTTGGTTTGAAAAATGCTCCCTTTTGTTTTTCAGGCTCAATGGACGGTGTTTTTAATGGCCTCTCTGAGTTCGCCCTGCCGTATCTTGACGATGTCGCCATCTTCTCGAATAGCTGCGAAGAACATGTAGAGCATTTACGGTTCGTGCTCAACAGGTTGAAAGAAGCTGGTCTTACCATGAAACCTACTAAATGTCACCTAGGGTGCGGCGAGGTGTCTTACATGGGGCACGTGGGGCGTGGCTGGCATAGACCTTCAGAAATGAAGGTATCCGCCGTCGTGAACTATCCACGACCATCCACAAAATATGAGGTAAGGGCATTCTTGGGCCTAGCTGGACACTATCAGCATTACGTGCAAAACTACTCTAGCATTGCTAGCCCTCTAACTGACGCACTTCGAAAGTCCGAGCCGGTTAAAGTGGTATGGGACTCAAAAAAATAGAACGCATTTTGCAAGCTGAAACAGGCCTTAAGCGAAAAGCCCGTTCTCATGGCACCCGATTTCTCTAAGGGATTTGTCATTCAATGCGATGCGAGTGATCGCGGCTTGGTAGCTATATTGTGCCAGGAAGACAGCGCTGGTAACAAAAGACCAGTTTTGTATTTAGGTCGAAAACTGAGCTGCAGGGAAAAGGCATACAGTACTTTTGAAAAGAAATGCGCTTGCCTTGTGTGGGCCGTTCAAAAGCTAGCCTGTTATATCTCCGGTTCCAGGTTTGTGGTCGAAACGGACCACTGTCCTCTAACCTGGTTAAATAATATGTCGCCTAAAAGGCGCCAGTTACTGAGGTGGAGCATGATACTCCAACAGCACAACTTATACATTTGCCACAAAACAGGAAAGCTAAACACTAATGCAGATGCATTAAGCCGTGCGTTTTAGTTAGTGCCTTCTCCACCTTTCCGTCTTTCGCTGGCGAGTCGGGGCAAAATTTTGTACTCATCACGGCCTTAGCTGAAAGCTCTCGTCCAGAGTGATCTTAAGGGGCCAACTTTATGTTTTATTCTATTCCATTACGTTGTTGAACGTGCAAAAAAATTGGAGTTCTCATTTGAAGAGTCTTGTGTCCCACATGTGCCTCTTGATGTAGAGGGAACGAAATTCCGATAGACATGTAGCTAGGCATATGTTGTATTGTACTTTGTCTGGTGTTCTGTCGGGTAACCGAGGGCACTTGCTTGTGTTGTCTGTTGTGGAACCGTTCTTGACAAGTTGCAGAACCATTAACAAGTGCTGAGACGAAGAATCGTCAGACGAGATGAGCGAAGCTAGTCGACAAGTTGTGGCGACAAGCCAGTGGAGTTGGGATCCGTCCTCAAGAAGGGGATGTGCTCACGGAACTGAGCCTGGAGCTACATCCTCCCCATGTTCCTGGAGGCGAACCTGGAGGGACCTGGCGAACGAGCGTGCCCGACATCCAAGCCACGTGGAAGCAGCTCGTCTTTCTTGTGCATTGTCTGGCGGCGGGTGTGCTGTTACGCCTGGGATTCCACACCGAATGCCATTGCCTCTCCAAAGGCAGTCTGTGTCAAGGCCAGCGAGCGAGCTCACCTGACGTCATAATCTCAATGACGTCATCAAGCGGCGGCGCCGGTCTGTCTTACGCAACGCACGGCGAGCTCCCTCATCCTACGGGCCCGATGAAGCAAGCGGCGCAATCTAGTCTAGCGAGTCTTATGTAATGCGTGGCTACATCACTCATCCTTAGGTGTAACCCTGCGCAGCGGCTCCGGATTTGAGGATCATGACGCAACCCAGTGGCGGTTCTCGTCTGGAGGAATCTGACATCACATTCAGCGGCGCTTCTGATTAGACGGTGGTGATGTAAAGGTCCACCAGGTGCCTATAAAAAAAAAAGCCGACCCATGCGTCAGATAGAAGCGGACGTATGCGTCAGAGAGAAGACATCTCGGCTCTTCGAGTCCCTAAGCTGTCGGCCCCCGGGCCGAATATGTAACGCCTTCATTTTTATGCTGTACATAAACCTTGCCTTATTTCACCATCGTCTTGACCGCTCGTGTATCAGCTCTGCGCAGAAGCAATCACGAGCTCAGCAACACACGCTACCAAACAGCCAGTAACCTTGGAAGCGGCGAGTTTACGAAGCAGTGGCGCCTTCAGGACCGTGTTGGCATCGCACTTCGTAACAGTGTCTACTTGAAGTGTGTGGCACTGTTCTGCATGCATTCCTGGTTGCTGACATTTCCGCTGTTAAGTGGATGCCTTGGAAGATGGTGACAAACTTTGTGTGTTGGTGCATGCAAGTTGTAACCAAGACGCCCACTAGCGTGGAAGAAAAACTGTTGTCTTTTGTGTTGAGGCTTGGAACAACCCTCATAAGTGTCTGCTCAATCCTGGCAGCTCCACTATTCAATGTAAAGAACTGTGTGTCTGCTTCAAGTTCACTTGAGGGAGCGTGGAGCTTTTTACATTGGACATAAAGTGGTCTTTGGTTTCTATGATGTGTGAGAAATGCTCACCACAGATCGTCACTCTTTGCGTCAACTTTGACTGAAAGAGGAAAACGGGGTTATAGGACAAGCAGTAGGTTGTGCAAGTTAACATAGACCTATATTGCCTGAACTGAAACAGCATCTTCTACAGCAAAAGGGGGGGGGGGGGGAGGGGGGGTTTTGTCCGACTTGCTCGCTATCTCTAAGTGCATACTGAAACCTCCCAGAAATCGAAACCAAGTCATCCGTAATCTAGCCTAGAGGACATTGTCACTCGAATGTGCAAATATGGCAGGAAGGCCAAAAGCGGCCCCGTACAACTTTTCTTGTTTTCATAATTTATAAGTTCACAATTTGTTCACTCTCTATATACATGGGATGCCTGAACACCAGTACAAGATTCTTGTTTTCTGTCAGCAAAATGAAAAAAAAAAATGCTTATCAGTTTTTTAGATTGTGTTTTTATATTCTGTAAACGACTTTATTATGAAACACATCTCTATGGTTTCATAATGAGATATCTGCAAGAAACGTCTACCAAGGTTAATCTGGCCTATCACATGAATGACCATGGATCGTTTGGTGTACACATGGAGATAGTGTGTGCATAGACACCATGCTAGTGTCACAGGCTATACCAAATGCGCTGGTGTTGTCACTTTTCAGCAACCTGGTCATTGTTGTATTTTGCATGGCATTGTAGAGAAAAAAGGGCAGCTTTTATCTGTCCCTTTTTTCTAGTCACTGGTGGAATAGCGTTTCTTATGAACATCTCTACTCCCTTCACAGTGTAGAACATTGAATCCAAGTAAAACAGAGAAAAGTTACATGCTACACTTGATTTGTATTGCGAATTTCTCTAGGATCGGTGGTAAAAAAGGCAATAGTGATTTGCTCACCTGTCCTTTCTATTTCATTTTCTTGCACTGTAGCCTTTTTCAACTAGTGCATCATGTCATGAGTGCATGCAAGTAGACGCATTGCCTGCAGCTGGATGAGATGTAATGTAAAGATCATCATTCGTGCTGCATTTGAATACGACCTATATTATCATGACATTGTTGCTTTTCAATGCATTACATGTGAAACCACGGGCCTTGCATTGAAGCTTTTAAAAGAAATTAAATTGAGAATAGTTTAAGACTAGAATTGTTGGTGCAGTGGTAACATTTATGCTGATGGACAATGCAACAAAAACTAAGGGAGCTTGTTGCTTTGTGCTTTGTTCACTTTTGTGCCCGCCATTCTCGCTTTGCATTCTGGCTGGTTTGGTCCCAACGTGGAAGACCCTTTCCTTCGGTTAAAGGAGGTCATCGCTTACCGATACCCATTTAAAGATCCCTGTAATATCGTGATGAGCGTGTAGTGAGAAATGTTTTGCCATTTTATTCTTATTTACCCTATTTTTTATACTGCGCTCTTGAGCTGAGAGACAATAAACATTCATTATTTGGAATTTTGGTTGTTTGTGCTTATTGTGGGTGGGGCCCTGCAAGCGACGGCAGCTCGTCGGCAGGGTCCCATTTACAGGTACACGCGAGTCGCGCTTAATTCGCTCCAACTGTGTCGATAAAGCAGCCTTCTAGGCGTATATAGCTGTAGCATATCCAACGTACCCCGATTAGCCAGCTTTGGGACGTTTATTCGTTATATGTACACGAGTCCGAACGCTATGTCTTGTGCTGACACAGCTAGGGGAAGCGTAGCGTCCCCGTAGCTGTAGCATATCCAACGTACCCCGATTAGCCAGCTTTGGGACGTTTATTCGTCATATGTACACGAGTCCGAACGCTATGTCTTGTGCTGACACAGCTAGGGGAAGCGTAGCGTCCCCGTAGCTG